CACTTTCCGAGGCCAACTCTTTAGACAGGGATTGGACTGGACTGTGGGACGTAAAGTGATACTCATGAAGAATGTGCCTCTTAGTCAAGCAGATACAAGAGACCAAAGGGGCAGCTTCTGTCCAGAGGTGAGATGGGAAGGCAGAAAGAGTTAGGAGCTGGTTGAATGTTCATGGTGAATCAGGGGTGGAGGGGAGGAGTGTGCTGTCACAGAATGTGGTGAGCAGTTGGGGTCTCGTAACAATGTATGTTAAAAAAATTTTTTTTTGTATGGCAGACTAACTTGAAATGTAAACTTCATTTAATTACAACAATAAAAATATATATATGTATAAATAAAAAAATAAAGAGTATCTCAGGGCAAAAAATAAAATAAAAAAATTGCTAGTCTTCTTAGTGGACTGACCCTTTTATCATAATATATCTTTCTTTCTCTGGCAACTCTCTTTGCTTGAAAGTCTACTGTATCTGATCTTAATTTAGCTACTTCTACTTTTCTTTAATTAATGTTTGCATGATACATCTTCTTCTATCCTTTTACTTTCAACCTACCTACATTGTTAGAAGGAGGCCTGGTGGTGCAGTAGTCAAGTGCTAGGCTGCTAACCAAAAGGTTGGCGGTTAGAATCCACTAGCCGTTCTGCAAGAAAAAGATGTGGCAGTCTGCTCCAGTAAAGATTTACAGCCTCAGAAACCCTCTGAGGCAGTTCTCCTCTGGCCTACAGGGTCACTGTGAGCTGGAATTGACTCAACAGTAGTGGGTTTGGTTTTTGGTTATACTGCTATATCTGAAGTGAGTTTCTTGTAGACAGCATATAGTTGGGTCATGTTTTTTAATCCATTTTGCCAATCTCTGCATTTTAATTGGTGTATTTAGATCATTTACATTTAAGTTAAGGCTTAAGTATGCCATTTTACTTATTTTTTCTGTTTGTTCTTTCTGGATTTTGTTATTGCTGTTGTTTCTCTGTTTTCTTTTTCCTGTCTTCCTATGGGTTACTTAAATATATTTTAGAATTCCATTTATATTTATGTATAATGTTTTTGAGAGTACATTTTTGTATAGCTTTTTTAGTTATTGTTCTAGGTATTACATTAAGTATGCATACCTTATCACAGTCCACTGTCCAGCTGTGTATAAACCTTCACTATGAGTCGGAATCAACTTGACAGCAATGAGTATTATGGGTTATAAACCTTAACTCTCTAAATCCCTTTAACCTTCCCCATTTATAATTAATTGTTTAAAATAGTTCCTTTATATACATTTACAAGCACATCAGTAAGATAATTTTTTGTTTCAACCAGCACTCAAAAGGAGAAGGAAAACCTATTGAACTTACTCATATTTTTCATTTACATTTTCTTTCTTCCTTCTAGATATTCCAAGATTACCTCTTTTATAATTTTCTGTTTAGAGAACTTCCTCTAGCCATTTTTTTAGGGTACATCTGTTGGCAATAAATTCTCTGTTTTCTTTCATTTGAGAATGTCATGATTCTCCTTCATCCCTGAAGGAAATATTCTCTGGATATAAGATTCTGGGTTCACAACTCTTTTCTTTCAGCACTTACAAACTGTTGTTGTCACTTCCTTCTAGACTTCATGGTTTCTGATGGAAAATCCACTGCCATTCAAATTGTTTTTTCTCTATTGGTAATACGTGGTTTCTCTCTTGCTGCTTTCAGGATTTTTTCTTTGTCTTCAGTTTTCATAAATTTGACTATTATGCACCTCAGTGTAGATTCCTTTGGTTTTTTCATGTTTAGGGTTCACTCAGCATTTTGAATCTGTAGGTTTATATCTTTTGCCACTTGGGAAACTTTTCAGCCGTTATTTCTTTGAGTACTTTTTTAGGCTCTCCTCTTTCTTCTTCCAGGACTCTGATGACAAGACTGTTAGATCTTTTGTTGTAGTCCCACACGTCCCTGAGGCTCTATTAATTTTTTTCAGTGTATTTTCTCTCTGTTGTTCAGATTGAGTAATTTCTGTTGTACTACCTTGAAGTTCACTTAGTGTGTCCCCTGTCTCCTCTATTCCACTGTTGAGCCCATCCTCTGGGCATTTTATTTGTTATTGTATTTTTTAATTCTAAAATTTCTATCCATTTCTTTTTTATATTTTCTATCTTTTTATTGATTTTTTCTATTTACTTGCTGAATATTTATATTTTGTTTTACTGTGATTAAAATATATCTATACATGACAAAATGTATGCCAATTCAGCATTTTTACATGTACAATTCAGTGTCATTGATTACACTCATCATGTTAAAACCTATCACCACTATCTGTTTCCAAATTATTCCACCACCATTAACAGAAACTCAGTGCCCCTCTAAGCAATGACTTCTCCTTTCCTCCTCCCTCCTACTCCTGGAAACCTTTAATAAACTTTGATCTCTATACCTTTGCCTTTTCTAGGTATTTCATATAAGTGGAGTCATACAATATTTGTCCTTTTCTCTCTGACTTATTTCACTCAGCATAATGTTTTCAAGGTTCATCCATACTGTAGCATATATCAGGACTTCATTTCTCGTTATGCTGTTGTTGCTGTTGGGTGCTGTCGGGTGCTGTCGTGTCGGTTCCGACTCATAACAACCCTACGGGACGGAGCAGAATTGCCCCATAGGGTTTCCAAGATGTGGCTGGTGGATTCGAACTGCAGACCTTTTGGTTAGCAGCCGTAGCTCTCAATCACTGCACTACCAGCGCTCCACGGTGTAATATTCCATTGTATGTATATACCACATTTTGTGTATCCATTCATCTGTTGATGAACATTTAGGTGTTTCCATCTTTTGGCTATTGTGAACAGTGCTGCAATGAACATTGATATACATGTATCTGTTCGCATTCCTGATTCCAATTCTTTTGGGTATATACCTAAGACTGGGATTCTGGGTCATTCGGTAATTCTATTTTTAACTTTTTGAGGAAGCACCAAACTGTTTTCCACAGTGGCTGTACTATATTGCATTCCTAACGGCAATAGGTGAGGATTCTAAAATTTCTCTACATCCTCACCAACCAACACTTATTATTTTCCTTTTTTTTTTAAAATAATAATCATCCTAGTGGGGGGTAAAATGGTATCTCACTGTGGTTTCGATTTGCATTCCCTAATGACTATAGGGTCACTATGAGTCGGAATCAATTCGACGGCAATGGGTTTTGTTTTGTTTTTGGTTAATGACTAATGATTTTGAGCATTTTTTCATGTGATTATTGGCCATTTGTATTTCTTCTTTGGTAGATGTCTATTCAAGTCCTTTTTTTTTAATTTGATATAGTTGTGTTTATAATTGCTCAATGAAACATTTGTATGACAGTGGCTTTAAAATCTTTGTCAAATAGTTCTAACATCTCTGTCATCTCATGGTTGGCATATACTGATTTTATTTCTTAATTCAATTTGAGATTTTTCTGGTTCTTGCTATGATTAGTGGTTTTTTATTAAAATCTATATATATGGGGTATTAGGCTATGAGACTCGAGATCTTACTTCAACCTTCTGTTTTAGCAGGCATCCTCTGACACCACTCCAGCAAAGAAAGGCATGATGCCACCTTGTTACTTCCAGATGGGAGAAGAAGTCCAGTTCCTGGACTCAACCACCACTGACACCCAAAAGGTAGAAAGATTCCTCATTACTACTGGGTGGGAAGGGAGTTCTGGCTCCCCACTAGGCCTCTACTGATACCTCCCGGGCTGGAAGAGGTAGGGATGCCTCATTACTGCTCCCCCTGTGGCCTCCACTAACACCATGGGTGAGAGGGGTGGGCTCTTTATAGCTGGGTAATGGATGAAAGTCCTGACTCTTCACTAGGTCTCCTTTGACACCACCACAGTAGAAAGGTGAAGAGGCACCTCATTAACGCTAGCTGAGGGTAGAAGTAGAGGATCCCTATGTGTCACCACTGACACCACAACGGAGAGGAAGCCTCATCACTATCCTAGTAGGATGAAAGTCCAGGCTCCATACTCAGCCTTTACTGACAGCACCCCAGGAGGGCTGAGGTGCCTCATTAAATTTGACAAGGATAGAAGTCTATACTCCCCACTAGGCCTTTGTTGGTGTGGGCAGGGTGGGGCCACAGTTTTTTCTGTGGTATTTAGCTGGAGTAGAGCAGCTATTATCTAAAGTTTTCTGTCTTGCTAAGCTGTCCCTTTCCTGGTCCTTTGGCTAAAGAGAACAGGCTTTTGTTGGGACTTTTTTTTTCTCTTTACCTGTTGGCATTTCAGATTATCAGCTTCTTCAGTTCCAAGTCTGTGATACATGAAGTAAAAAGAAAGCCCAGGGAACTCACCACCACATCATTCCTTGAGTCCTGAGGCTCCTAGCCAATGCACCTTCTTCTCTTCATGTTTCAGAGTCTTTTTATTGTTTATAAAGTGCAGGGTTTTTAGTTGTCCTTAGCAGGAAAACTAGGGAAAAGCACTTCTACTCCATCTTCCCCAGAAGTAGAAGTCTCACAATGAACTTTTAAGAAACCCACTTGTTAAGTTTTGGTGTATTATCAAAGAAGAATACCCACGGTTATGTAAAAAGGATATTAAAATATACTACATGTCTGTGGGAAGCCAGATTTTTTTACATATATTTCAGTTAAAAAAAATCACAAAATTGAATGCAGAAGCAGACATGAAAATTCATCTGTCTTCTATTAAAACAGACATTAAAGAGAGCTGCAAAATAAAAGACAATCCTAGTTTTCTCACTAAAATTTTTGTTTTCAAAAATATAATTATATTTCATAAAAATGTTATTTATGTTGACACATGTGGCTTCATTACTGTTATTTTAATTCATAAATGGCTAATATTTTAATATTGTCTTGGTTTTAATTTCTAATACTGAAAATGTCTATTTATATAACCCACATAAACAAAAGTTCTTTAAGGTCCCCAATAATTTTTGAGACAGTAAATTGTCCTGAGATCAAAAAATTTAAGAACCTTGAGGTAAAGAAAACTAATATTAAAGGAAATTCTTACTTCCTCTCCCAAAAGTCGCAGGTGTGGTTTGTGAGCATGCTGTCCAGTTCCTTGTGTCAATTCAGGTGGTATCTCTGGTACTGTTAAAGGAACAGCAACATTTTCTTGGTTGCCACTCTTAACAGGAATTCCAAACAGTAATCTACAATGCAATTGAAAAAAACAATAACTTGTTTTTTAAATCACTGATAACGCAAAAAGATATTGGCTCTCATATCATATGTCTGCCAACATAAACACACTGATGTTCGATATTTATGCTAAACAGCGATTGTACAGAAGTCAGATAACCCAAAGTGGGGTATAATCCAAAAATAATTTGTTTGGTTCTGAATACATTTTAGTTGTAACCTTTGTGATGGTTTTCTTACATTGAAATAATAAATTCACTCTATGAAAACCTGATTATAAGACGTAAAAAATTCTCCACCTTCTGCTCACTAACCTGCTCCCACTCCAAGCTCACAGAAAACAGTTTCACAACTTAGACTGGGGCAGATCACAAGCCTAAGCAGAACTGCCTTCTCACATGGAAGTTTTCTCTTCCTGATTCATATCTTTCTGAGATGAACAGAAAACTCTTTTGTTATCACATCGTCCCTTCTAGCCTGCAAGCTATATATCATAAGAATGTAACTGTCGTCGAGTTGATTCTGACTCACAGCGATCCTATATGACAGAGAAGAACTGTCCCACAGGGTTTCCAAGGAGTAGCTGATGGATTTGAACTGCCGACTTTTTGGTTAGCAGCCGTAGCTCTTAACCACTATGCTACCAGGGCTCCAAGAATATATATAGGAGGTACAAAACATACCAACAAAAACCTTAGTTAATCCAAAGAGATAATGAGATAAAGTAAAATTTGAAGGCAAATGGGTCATTAATGACTGACCTACTGACTGCTTGTAAATACATAAATTTTGTATTGCCACATTTTTTATAAAGGACATATAAAATGAATATAAAGTGGGTCTATACAGAAATAGTTATATCAATTTCACATGGCAGTATTTAGTACCAACATTCCTCTAGCTTTTGTGTGTGTGGTAAAATATACACAACACAAAATATGCCATTTTAACCATTTTCAAGCATACAACCCAGTGGCATTAATCAAACTCACAATGTTGTGGAACCATCACCAGCATTTGTTTCCAAAACTTTTTCATCACTCCAAACAGAATCTCTGTAACCATTAAGCAATAATTCCCCATTCCTCCATTTCCTCAGCTTATGGTAGCCACTAAATCTACTTTCCGTCTCTATGCATTTGTCTATTCTAGATATTTCATATAAATGGGATCATGTAGTATTTGTACTTTTGTGCCTGGCTTATTGTACTTGTCTTCAGGGTTCATCTATGTCATAGCAAATATTAGAACTTCATTCCTTTTATGGCAGAATAATATCCCATTCTATGTACATACCATATTTTGTTTGTCCATTCTTCTGCTGATGGACACATGAGTTGTTTCCATCTTTTGGCTACTATGAATAACGCTTCAATGAATCATTGGTGTAGAAGTATCTTTATGCCCTCTAGCTTTTTGCTATACCACTATATGAACAGTTATATTTTATGAGCCGCCAAATATGAAGACTGAGAATACACAATCCCTACTGAGTTTAGTTACTTAAGAGTATGCTGAAATCCTCAGATATCATCGCCTTGGCCCTTAAAAAGAAGACCCACCCAGAGTGAGGCTGGAGAAGATAGGGTCTTGCCAAAATAGGGTTATTAAAAAATAAATAAATAAATAACTTTTCTATGTCACCTAGCCAAATATTTGAATTCGAAGAGATGTTAAAGCTCAGCTCCCAGCATGATGAATATAGTAGACTGTCACTCAACACCTGTTCCATCCTTCTTCTAGTGTGCTTACCTGAACTGCAGATGATGGAGACAGAAAAACTCTCCTGCAGCCAGGGTTCTAGATGTGATGTTGGATCCACTAGTCAGAGGCATTCGCACACAATTTGGAAGGGAGAAGTTTCTGATGTTTCTGTTGGCATGCACAGTAATAGCAACATCGAGTTCTTCTGCAGCAGTGCTCCAGTTCCTTCTTTAGTGGGTTGTCTTTTTTTTTTTTTTTTTTGCCAATGAGCATATCAAACAGACATAATGTGGCTCCAGAGTCAACAGCTATGACAGTACTGGCCACCTGATCTCTGAATCTCAACTAAGGTTGTATGTTGCCAGTGTTGGCTTCCAGATTTCCTGCCTTCCTGACTGTGCCAGAAATAGCAGCTCCCCTGCCATCTATTTAAGCATGTTATGAGAGCCATCACTGGAAGCCCTGCCTGCTTAAATCTCATTTTTCCAATCCTTCCACTGATTTTATAAGCACCAAATTCTCTTTACTAAATTGCTTAAGGTAGCTAAAGATGTTTGTTTTCTTCAAATGAATCCTAATTGATATATTCCGAAAAACAAAAGAACAAGATAAGGTTTAGGGGGTGAGGGGATGGGCCAAGATCAGTATAGTATGTCTAAGATAAGGTGGAGACACTTTGAGGAGGCTGGTAACTTAAGAAGCTACCTTGAGGCACATCTGTACTTTTCTCTGGTCCTATGCCAAAAACAGGGTAGTAAAAGTTATTCACATCTTAATGAATTTTGCCCTTTCACATTCCAGAAAACATAAATTTTGGTTGGTTGGAAGGAAAGGGGAAAAAAGCCATTGAACACTTTAGAGTATATGGTTCTGGTAGACACGAATGGAAGGCCTTAGTGGAAAGGCTACCCAAGGTCAGCAACTGTTCCTGATAAGACAAAGATGAATCACTCATTTTGAAACTTCTCTCCAGATCTGGCCTGCTTATTTCTTTCCAGAAAAAAATAACAAACGTTTTCTAGAGCTCTCCCTTTTGGAAAACATCACCATCTCAGTGTTTCAGACTAAAAATCTCTTCATCACCAACTTCTCCCTCACTCCCAACAGTAACCACTACCCCATTCGTTCTCCCTCCACAGTGTCTCTCCAGTCCACTGAATTTTTCTCACCTGAGTCCTATGATATTGTCTTCACTGGTGCTTTACCTCCAGACTCTCCTTCCTCTAACCCATGCTATATGCCCCTGCCAGAGTTGCCATCAGGCACCCTTCTCTCCAAACACTTTAATGACTACACACATAGCATAAAACCCAACATCCTCAGCCTCATAGTCAGGGTCCTCCACAGTTGAGCATCATCCACTTTCCCACTTCCTATGCCCAAACCCCAGGCCAACTTAAATTCACAATGCAAAAGGTGCCCAAGATGCTGCAACTACTACAAGGACAATAAGGAAGACAACCAAACCAACATGAGATTATAGTACAGTGCGGTGAGCACTGTGAAAGTGATGAACACAAGATCCCACTCAAATCTCAACTCTTCTGTGACACCTTTACAAATCCCCCTCACCCCAGTCAAAATTCATCTTCGCCTCCCTAGTTTTCCTGCTACATTTGATCTGTCCCCTCATTATAGAATATACTACATTCTATTCTGCACATATTTTTCACAGTAAATCATAGGCTGTTTATGGGGGCAGGGAAGTGATTCTTATTCATTTTCTGTCTCTCATGGATTTGAATATAGTAGGTAATGAATAAATGTTGAATTTTGGCTAAGAGAGAAAAATCCCACAGTAAAAGCCAGCCCCAGATCCTGCCCTAGGGAACTGAGAATCACAGATCAGCATGATGTAATACAGTGTTCTCAAAGTGTGTTCCACAGCATCATACAGAAACTTGTTAGAAACGCAAACGCTTGAGCCCCACCACAGACCTAGTGAATCAGAACCTCTGGGGGTGCAGCTCAGTCATTCGTGTTTTAACCAGTCCTGCAGGTGATTCTGATGCACACCGAAGTGTGAGAACCACTGATGTATTACAGTTTTTCCTAAAACAGCCTCATCAGAAGAATAACCTGGGATGCTTACAGACCCGTCCTCCAGAGATCCTAATTTGGCAGGTTTGGGATAGAGCCTGGGAATTGTTACACATATCAGATACCCCAGGTGTCCTTATGCTCTTGGAAGCTTAAAAATCACTGATACAGTGGGAAGAGTCAGACTTTGGAATGAGGTTGAAAACCAGGATTTTAGCTCCAGTTTGTCTATGTACTATGCTATGTTGGGGAGGTCACTTGTCCTTCCTAAGTCTCCGTTTCCTCATCTATGAATGGCAACAGTGATTATCTTTCAGGGTCTAATGATTAGAAAAAAATATGCCAAGAGCTTTGCACGTGCTACATGCTCAGTAAGTGGTTGATATTACGATCATTATGTTATTATCTCTGAGGGATTTGAACGAAGAAACAAGCCTACCTCACTCAAAGTGAAAGTTAAACCTTCCCAGTCAACATCAGTCTCCCTCCGGGCCGGAGTTATACAATGCATTATTGTAGGTTGCTGTCAAAGAAGTTTGAGAAATATTTGCCCTAAGCCTTGAGCACCCTTAAAATATCTCTGTACACATCTTCTATGGGTTACATAAAAGTGACTGTTAGCTCCCTCCTGTGAAGCATGGAGAAGGATTCTCCCTCCAGCAACCTTCCCCCAACCTTGGTGTGACTCTAACAGAAATGTTCCTCCATCACACCTTTGCTATCTCTTCCTTAGTAAATTAATCTTGCTATTTGTAGTACAAAAGTCTGGGGGAGGCTTCACAGGATGAAGTGAGCAGTCACTTTTATGTAACTCATAGATGTGTACAGAGATATTTTTAGAGTGCTCACAGCCTAGAGCAAATGTTTTCCAAACTTTTTTGACAACAATCCATAATAAGAAATACATTTTATATTATGACCCAGCACATACAAGAGTCTTACCAAAGTAATACTTACACGCAATAGAATGCACTCTTCTAGACTACATCATCTTTTACAGTGCTGGTAGCAACCCACTAAAGCAATTTCACAACCCACTTATTGGGTCACAATCCATAATTTGGAAAACACTAGCTTACAGGCTAATCTGCAAATTGGCTTTTTGTTTTTGTTTTGTTTTTTAGTCTTGTTTTTTTTTCTTTAAAATCAGCAGCAGAGGCATATGAATAGTTTGTGTGATTAAAAAAATTCAATGATTACAGACCTAATAACTAGTCTGTATAAGAGTACATAACTATATAGATTTTTTTTTACAAAATATGATTAG